AGTAAGTATCTGTAGCCCTGTATACAGGCCCACTGATTGATAAGACTGTAGACACCTGTGGACACACCTTGATTTAACATGTTCCTTTGGTCACATTATTTTCATGGGTATCATCATTTCTGTCCAGGCCTGTTTCATGAGTTTTATTTTTAAATAAATTATTTTGTCAGATTCTAGTTATTTCTGTGACCATTGTAGGTTTTCTTTCATCAAACGAGGGGTAACAACAGTTTTGTCCATGTGTGTATGACATAATGTAAAGTACTGTAAATTAGATGTGGGTTTTCCCCCCTCAACCCCATCTGTTGCTGTGATCTGTCAGTAAGCTGTATATGAGGACCCGTCACCCCAAAAAGCCAGTTCCGCAAAGTTTTTCTTCACATTTAAAAACACAAACAAAAGAATGTTTCTAATAGTGGAAAAAGTAATTTACCAGAGATGTGCCATCCTTCAGTCTTTCTAAAGGAACACTGTTTTGAAAAGCGAATGTTTGCAACAAGCTACAAGAGCTGTTGAAGAGTGTTTTTCAGCTACCTCATATTCCTAACTGAAGCTAATAATCTAGTTATTTAACTTCTTTCAACTATTATTTGACTGATCTAAGACTTGAGAACTAGTTTGTGAGACACAATTGCGAGAAAATATGTAAATTTTCCCACCAGGAATTGAATTGAACATTTTTGGAGAAATTTAGGAGAAGATGGCAACAAAGATTAATCCGTCTCTGGCACTGCAGAGATGTGAAAACTAGACTAAAAATGATCTGAGATGAACAGACACTCAAGTTTTTCAAACATGGTCAAATATAAGAAATTAGCAACCTTTCCCAGCATTTCAAGACATTCTGGAAACTCCCTTTGTAATTTGTCACCATCAAAATGAACCAATAAATGTAATAATCAAAGCAATAAATGATTTAAAGTATTTACAGTAACGGCATTTCTGTTTGATACATTAATTTTATTTTATTGTGATAATACTGTAAAGCTAATATTTTTGCACGTTATACTGTCAGGTTTTTGTACCAACCCATGCTCAGACTATTATTATGGTGTTTGTTAACTCATGAAATAATTCAAAGTTCTGATTATTTCAGCTCTTTAACCTTTTTAAATCCATTCAGTAAACTGATCCGTTTGCAAAAGCTCAACTCATAATGATCAAAATGAAAAACGATGATGGTCTTGAGGGGTATTTTTGCATAAATGCCACAACACAAATACATAACAGAAGCCGACAAAAACAAGGCATCACCACTGCACTGACACCAAGCCACACAAACATTGGACACAACTGTTCATCGCCATGAGAGAGAGCTTACTTCCTGTGGGGATCAAGTCCCTGTCTGGAATGAAGAGTTTATACCCATAATGCTTCTCCAGCACATCGGGGAGGATCTCCAGGGCAAAGCGCTCCTCCTCTCTGGTCTCCTGGCTCCACTGGTCCGGGTCCACTTTGGTGTAGGATAGGTAGGCGTCATAGTCCTTGTTGTCTGCAGGGAGAAGGAGAACATTTCGTTTTGTGAGTTATGATAGACTTTTCATTGTCCTCAGATCCCTCAAACCAGAACATAARCATGCTCCGTTACACCTCAGATGCTCATAATCTATTTTCATACTGGTGAAAGAGGGCTATTCATTCACTGGGAGACTTTATCAAGACAGGACGCCTCCATTAAGCTGACCTCTGGGCACCTCGGCCCATCCCAGTGCTTTTCATTACGGCTCCGTCTCTGCTGACAAATTATGTTGCCTTGATGCCTACTTTGCCCTCTGCAAGCAAAACAAATTGGAGTCCGGTCCGAGCTAAGCGCCCGGCACTGCCCGCTCGGACCGTCGCACGGCACTGCTCCATCACCCGCACGCAGGCAAAGACTGATGATGGATTCCTTAAAAAAGTACTCAGCTGAGAGAAGCGAGAAGCTGAAGCCCTGATAGTGAAATAAAGCAGGAGAATGAAATGGAAGACATGGAGATGTACCGGAGCATCAGAACAAGATGGTCTCAGGCTGCAAAACAGAACAAATAAACAACTTCATTCTGCTCCGATATTTTTAACTGTACAAACAGGATGGAAGAAATTTTTAAAAAGACTATAAAACTAAAACTAAACTAAAAAAAAAGTCTTACTTTCATAAAAACATTTCCCCAGTCTGGGTCTGGAAAAATGTGCAGTTTAAATCAGAGGTAGGAAACTCTGTTACACAAGGAGGCMGAAATTCAAAACTTGCTCCAAGCCGAAGGCCAATTTCTGTCAGTATTTATTGACAGAAATTTGTTATTTATTAAATAACAATTTATTCTTATAAAAATACTAGTTACCGTCGTAATTATGTTTTATGTAGAATTTAGAACATATACAGCCTAATAGACAAAGGAAAAAAAATTCACTTTGAAAGAGACGTCATAATTTATTTCTTATCAACAAACTTTTCATTTATTAGAACTTAGAGTTGCACTTTATCACAATCCATCATGAAAATGGGTTGTGATAAGCAACCCATTTATTTACATGAAATTATATATTTCATGTATATAATTATAATTATTTAACTTTAAAATATGAAAGAATACAGCAAAACATMTTCTCCTTTCTCTGTTGCTCTTTCCACACCAAATTCAAAGACTATATAAAAAAAATAAAATTCTAACTTAATTTTCTTGGCTTGAAAGTTGGCTAGCTGCATGAGGATGGAGCACTAAATCCATTGAGTAAAAGAGAAAATATAAAACTGTTTCAGATTATGTATTACAGATTATGTCAACCACGACCACATTTGGCTCGCGAGCCTTCAGTTTGACACGTGGTTTAAATGAAAGAACTTAAACAACAAAATTAGCTTTTAATTTAGTTTGTTTCCTTATTCAAAACAAAGTGCAGTAAACTGTATAAGACACCCCTCCAATAAAAAACTGCAGTAATTAACACAATAAAAAATTAATTAATTGTGCTTTAAGAAGGAAATTTGAGGGTTTTATTTTGAAACAGTTGCAGGATGTGATGTGTGTTAGTGGGCAATTATTTTTAAATAAATATAAATTTAGGAGAGGCCAAGCTTCAATAAATAGAATAAAGACAATACTATTCTCAAACAGTAATATTAACTGTAAATAAATGCAAAAATCTAATATCCTTTAAATAGATATTTTCTTATTAAAGTAAAATATATATGAATGACTACAATCTATATTGTGTGAAGCTTGGTTTTGTCAGGTTTTGTGGAAAACTACATAAATTCTCAGATTAATGACAGAATTTTGATTAAAAAATACAGTCTGAACTCTGCCATTAACCTCAGATTTCGTGCTTTTTCATCAAAATTCTGAGAAAAAAAATCTAAATTCTGGGCCAAAGAAGAAAACAACTTCCCACTGTGACCCTAATTTTCTGTATATACAGATATATAGTTGTGGAACTTATAATCCGAGGCTTCTGCTTTTTGCATATAAAATAATGTTTAGTGAAAAGTCCATGAGCTGAGGCTGAAACAGTTTGTTCTGGTCTCTCTCTGAACTCTGGATACGTCACGGTTTGCAGAATGTGACGACATTCAGGTGAGGATCTGTTTGAAACCCTGATGAAGACAAGAAAAGAACAGATGGAGGAGGTTCAGGATCAGAACAACATCCTGATTCTACCTCTCTCCGGAGCTGGGAGACTGTAAACAACACTCTCTTCTCCTCCCACCTGCTAATCTTGATATTTGGCGCGATACTTTTACATGATGCCTTGTAATGAATCCATCTTGTTTTTCTAACATGTCGTTCATTTTTACAACACCGGGGACGTGTAAAAATAAWTGAAATGTAACCTCACTTAGTAGAACTAATTCTGAGGCATACATCTCCTGTGTTTTTGTTGTTGTTGTTTTTGGTTCTTCCTCCGGTAGCGTTTAAACAAAAGTTGTGTGGGCCGATCAAGGCTTATTTTAGTGCAGGTGATTCACTTGTCTGTGGCGGGGAAGACGGAGGTAGATGTGCAGCTGGTGAATCACAGAGGCAAGATGACCCCCCACCCCCTCCGATCCTCCTCAGGATCTTGAGAAGCGATGAAGAGAAACAGCTGAGGATCCACACCAACCTGCACCCACTGTGTTTGCAAACCCCATAAAGAAAAGCAGCATTTTTGTTTTTTTATATTCCACGTGTGTGTACTTCTCTGTGAGCCCACAGTTCAATAATGAACTCTTCACCTCAAAGTAAAAAAAAAAAAAAAGCCAAAAGAGTCGGAGGTGTAATCTCYGCTGTAATATCTCAGGGCTCCATTACACTTAATGGAGAGTAGATTAGGAAACACACACAAGTCTGGAGCTGCAGAAACRCACAGACTGCTAATGAGAAAACAAAATTGTTTTGTTTTCCATAATTCAGCTGCACACTAACCTGAGTCTGCATCAGAGAGGAGAACGCTAATAAAGACAGATTTATGTAGGAAAAAATGCATGTTTTGGTAATGTTTTGCAGTATTATTTAGCATTCATACTTTATTCAGTAATATAAGATAAAATGCAATATATTTCTATGTATTTTATAAAAGACCTTCAATAAACTCTTTTATTGTCACAAAGCCTGTATCTCTCAYACATACTGGCAACAAACTGCAACTAACTCTTGTGAGCCAGTATCTTATATTAATATCTGCAGGGTTCTCTACTTCCTCTCCTGAGTCACAAGGCTTCACTCYCGAGTTGCAGGAATTTTTTGTATGTGATAAATTTTCGATCCAAATGCTCACAGACTTGTTGTGGTCACCTACAAAACTTCGCAGTTTAGTTTTCGTGGTAAGAAAGTGAGAGAAACGTGAGGCAACTCTGGGAGGATTTGCCAACCTGCAGCTATCCATCCCAGACCTCTCCTAACTCTCAGTCAGCACTTCCCAGGGGTCTTCTACCAGTGGGGCGTGCACCCCCAAAGAGAGGCGCCCTAGTCAGATGCCAGAACCACCTCAGCTGACTCCTTCTGACGTGGTGCTCTCTATGCAAGACGGGAGATGAAGAATCTCTTTTTAYAGTTTTTCCTCAACCAATGTTCAGGGTTTAAATCCTCCTAAGTTCTCCATTGAAGAAAACTTCCCACTCAACAGTCCACTCTCCTTCCACAAGTTCTTTGACAATCTTTAGAGACTTTTTAAAAACAATTTTTACTGGAACACTTGTAATGTTGGTTGTATTTTCTCACAGCCTCGGTTAGATCAGCTCAGTGCAGCCAGCTCACAGAAACAGACACGCCCACCAAGTTCTGACCAATCGTACACTGTTCGACACATGGTGCTGTGAGGACTAGTTCTGGCTAGGGGCAATGAACAGGACGGGGTCTCAGCAGGTGGTAAAAGTAGCAAATTATGACGTTTTTGTCATGCGCGTGCGTTCGCGAGACGTAATATTGGGGCTTCCGGTTTAAAGCTGAGCTTGGCCACCATAAGGAAGAAAGCCTATTTCAGCTGCTTGTGTCCAGAATCTCTTTTTTGTTCWGGATGTCACAACCACTGGAACATAGACAAACCAGTAAACAGGAAATCAGGAACTTTCTTCCCCATGACAAACTGAAGCAAAGCCCTTTAGCGACCTGTAAAACTATAATGTGACTGATTGTGGGAGAGWTACATTGACTAAATTTTACATTATAAAACTGCAAAATCATTTACAGGAATGACACACAAAAGGTCATTTATGTTCAGTTATGAAAGTGTGTCAACATGTATAAATACAGCAGGGTTTCAAGTGAAAAAAAATATTTTGCAAATTTGTGTCTCCAACCTGTCACCAACGTTCCCAGCCTAATGAGACGAGGCTTACCATATTTATTAATGTATAATATGATCTCATGTTTAATATGACCCCCCCTTTTTGAGCTTAAAAAGCATTAAAAAAGGCATATGTATCTACAGTTTTGTTTTTTTCCCTTCATTTTATTTTTTTTCTATTGTACAGCGTCCTTGGTTGTCCTGAAAGGCGCTTTATAAATTAAATGCATTGTTATTAT